ATAGAAAAAAATTAATAAATATATCAAAATTCATATTTTTTGTATTTTTTAAATATAGATTCATATTTATATTAAAAAAATAAAAAATAAATAAACGATATTTCAGTTCAGATTCACATTGTGAACTTGTTCATATTCATATTGTAAATCTGTTCAAATTCACATTGTGGACATCTTCAAATTCACAGTGTGTATAATAATCAATCAGATTCACACTGTCAATCTGAACCGATCAGAGCTTTTTCACATTGTGAATATTAAAATTTGAAATATTTACAGTTTAGATTCACAATGCAAATCTACACTGCTCGAGTTTTTTTTTTTTTTTTTTTTTTTAAACATTCTCAAATTCACAGTATGCATAATAGTAATTCAGATTCACAATGTGAATCTGAGCTGTTCGACATTTTTCATATTGTGAATGTTAAAAATTGAAACATTTACAGTTTTCACAATGTGAATCTATACTATTCAAGTTTTTTTTTTTAAATCGGTGTTGATGTTTATTAATAGAGTACAAAAAATTAATATTTTTGGTATAATTAGTTTTTTTTATAAAAATAAAAGCTTAAATATTGAAAAAAATAAAAAAAACTAAGTGGTTTTTTTCGGAAAAAAATATCGTTTTTTATATATGATCATGGATCTCTATGGAAAAATGACGAAAAATCGTGAACAACGGTATATTCGGATTTTTTTTCTTTAAAAACTTGGCCTAAAAAAAATTTTAAATGAAAAAAGAAAGTAAGTTTTGTTATAATCCGGTACATGTGCGTCCATTCTAAAAATTTACAATCCTTCATTTTGCCGTTGATCACTTTAAATTCCGACGTTTTGGATTGGTTTCTTGGTTCCTTGAATAATAACGATTCTCTATTCAACTTATATATATATATATATATATATATATATATATATATATATATATATATATATATATATATATATATATATATATATATATATATATATATATATATATATATATATATATATATCTGTGTGTGTGTGTGTGTTAATTGGAGACCATGCTAATTTTGTGAGATCGTGAGACCAAATCTAAAAATAATTTTAAAATCCAAAATAAAAGAAAATTCCAAAAGTTCTTTTTTTAATTATTATTTTCGGAACTTTATTTAACTAAATAAAATAAAATAAAATACCGTTTTTTTTTTAAATACGTGAAAATTTTCAAATATAATATTACACTATACATATTTTAATATGATTTTTAGAATATTTAGAATATTGTACTAAATTTTGCTAAATATGTAGAATATTATAAATATTCTACTGAAATATGTAAAAAAAATGTATTTTTTTTGTATTTACTTTTTTTTGGTATTTTTTTAATTTTTTTGTTAGAAAATATATATTCTGAAAATATATATTCTAAAAATATATATTCTGAAAATAATATTGGAAAACTTTTTTTGAAAATTTTCAATTATTTTGCATATTAAAAATGTTTTTGTTTTATCTAATAAATGAGTGGCTAGGAATACGTCTCACGGTCTCACAAAATTAGACCATCTCACATGAACTAACCATATATATATATATATATATATATATATATATATATATATATATATATATATATATATATATATATATATATATATATATATATATATATATGGGAGGAACATAACAAATTTAGACGACATAATTTTTTTAATTAAAACTATAAAATAATATTCATAAAAATCAATCAATTGGTATAAACAATTAAAAAACTTATTAACCAAAACCACTCAGCACCCAAACAACACAACCTATCACCACTACCAACCACCCACCACCACCAACATGCCCTACCACTTGTCACCACTACCCACCTCCACCTAAGGTTGTCAAAAAGTATTGTGGGGGCCCCGTTGATGTGCACGGAAGTACCCGCTCATTTTAATATTTTTAACCTAACAAACTTAGACTAACTATGCACCCATAGGCAATGTACCTAGTCAGATTACACTATAGCTTGGGTAAGTAAGGTATCGATCACAAGGAACGATGTTATTAATTAATCTAATTGCCATCAAATTAATCTAATTATTAACAAGTTTAAAAGGGGTTTTATCTGATTTTACAAGATCAGACGAACTTAAGTCAAATTCAATCAATAAGTAAAAACACTCTTGTTTAGTTCGAATCTACTTCGTTCTTATGGCCATCTAATAATTATCAATTATCAAGTTGGTTATTATTATATTAGTAATTTAAGTCTAACTTTACCAATGATTAATTAATTCATGTAATATTATATATGATCACACACAATTAAACACCGAACCAATTATGATTATGAATGTGATATGTAAGATTTATTATGTAAATGCAATTATAGTCATAATCTACATTCTCTAGCACAGCTAAGTTTATTTACTTTAATTATTAACTAAGATTGGTCAATCCTAGCTCTAACAATTTAATGTTCACTAAATCATTAGGTAAATAAGTTCATGCAGTTAATGGTCACTAAGCTACACAAAACATGAAATTAAGCAACTAAAGAAACAAACATAAGCATGCTTGGTAACTATGAATCAAACACAAGCAATTCACCAACTAAATAAATCCATAAAAATTAACCTATTCAAAAGTTAGAAGCTTCATCTAACTAAACAAGAGTAGTTAGATTTAGCTGCTCATAATAGCAACTAACATACTATCACAAATCAAAGTATAAGGAAACATGTTCATAAGTATCAATTAAGTAAACTAAATTATGAAACTTCACTCTTTCGGTGCTGAAACCGTTTTTCCAGGACCTTTCTTCTGCTCGGAAACGCCTTCTGGAACCTCTTTCTTCAGCCAAAAGTCCTCAAGTCGTAATGATCAAGGATATATATATATATATATATATATATATATATATATATATATATATATATATATATATATATATATATTATTTCCTGAGTTCACGTAGTGAACCATATAGATTCACCTCGTGAATATGAGATAACCGTGTTCCACAAAGACTTTTCCACCCGCATGCATATCTTCTAGAACTCTCTATTCACGTCGTGAACCATAACTTGTTCACGTCATGAATACGTCTTTTGGGTGATTTTTTGTTCTTCTTTTCTTTAATCCTCCAAAGTTCCATATCTTGTGAACTCCAGTCCCTATCTTTGAAGATATTCTACTTGGTTGCAAAATAACAATTCCAATCATAAGTACCATTATTCTATGCGAATAACCAAAATATCAATAGAAATGTAAATAAATATTGCCTAAAATATGTATAGATATGACAATATCAAAATACCCCACACTTGTTCTTTGCTTGCCCTCAAGAAAATCTAATTATTAAATTAAACCTTCATTACCAATATCACATCGAATGATCCAACTCAAGCTCAACCATTTTGCTAAAACCTCAACGCATGCATTTGTGTCTAAAATATTTCCTAAGTAACCTCCCTCAATTCTAAATACTCATAATCCTCATAAACACTTGGCCACTTCTTTCGAACAATGCTCATTTTATGCAACCCTCCGAATCCATCCTCGGAAAGCTTTCTAACCTCAAGGTATTTTTGTAAAGCTACCCAAGCATACATAAACTAGAGAATTACAATTTTTAGATACCACAACAGAGCTCTTGAATTCTTCTTTGATATTTGATATTTCGATCTCTTTGAATTCACCACCTTGTTGTGTGATTTTTTTTGGTATCTTCAAATTTTGAAACTTCAGAATTTTCGATCTTTGATCTTCATACTTTGATACTTTTATGCTCCAAAAATTCTTCAACTTCTTAACTTTTTAGTAATTTCTCTCTTCTTTTAACATGTATCTCACTTTTTTTTATATCACTCAGAAACCGACATGCTTAAGCATGGGCGCTTAACTTCAACCTTTATTGGTTAATACATAGCTTTCTTGGATACATTTCAGGTTTAGGCTGCTAAACATATTGCATCCCTCAAACTAAGCGAGGTTGTGTTTTTGTCCCATGATTTCACTAAAATAAAGGAGGACACAAATGCATTATAATGTATATTGGCTCAACTAAACATTTGAGCTCTTATCGGATCATCCCATATAACACTTAGCAACTACAACTCAAATTATTACTACTAGATCCAATTAGTAAAAATTTTAATAATTTTAAAATTTACCAAATTATCTAGCAATTTACTTTTTCTACCCTCTACCCCACACTTATTACATACAATGCCCTCATTGTATGCATACACTAAGTTAAAAACAATAAAAGGAAGAGAAAAAGGAATGGACTCCCCTGGGATAGAAATGGAAAGAACGAACTCCAAACGTGTAGTCGACATGTGCATCTCGAATATTGAACTTCATCTAAATAGAAACTTGGACTTGAACTTGCGATAAATGTAAGTAAGCCAACAAGCGAAAGAGCAATGAATCGAAAGTTCAATCTCCCATAAGAATGGTGTAAGTCCTTAAAATGTATAGAATAACGTGGGAAGGCATTCATCATAAAAACCCGAATTTTGTGAAAATGGAAAATTCAAGATGTGAATAAGATTGGCTCACGACGTGAATTCGCAAGAATGCAGATTCAGGAATCCCTTGGAACCCAACTCACGACGTGAATAATAAATGCTCACGTCGTGAAAACTGAGCAATTGAAAAATGAAATTGCCTATTCTTCTTATCACTTTTAGCATCCCACTCCAATATCTAAATTAATAAAGACACTTCTAAATGCAAAATTTGTAGGACTCCTTGCTAATTTTATCCTCTTTCTTTACTCACCCCACACTTATTTTTAATTGTGGGTCTGGAATCTAGACTCGTAACACTCTTGACTAGACTCTCACAACCCTTGACTCGACTTTACTCCCTTCCTAAGACGCCTAAGCAAGCTGTAGTTCAAACAACCAAAAAGAAACAAAAGTAACATAATAGTAATCCAAGTGTTTAACATCCCAAACAATGTTTTCAAACCAACAAATCAAAACAACACAAAATAAAAACTAAAAGCTAAAATAAATAAAAACCACTAGCGATCAATCATCCTCCTCTTCATCACGAGCTCTACTAGGGCCTGCCATGTCTCCTCCTTGGCCAGGATACTCCGTCCACCTCGGGCAAATTGGGTAATGATACCCTAGGTGAGGAGGCTGCTCCACATGGAAATGTTGCACCATATTCTCTATCGTCCCTCCAATCCAATTAACGCTCAATGAAAGCTGATCGAAATACCCAACCATATCATCCCCAATATGTGATCCTACCATGGGTGCGGGTGGATGCATTGGCTGCCCTCTTTCTCCTCCTCCTCTCACGTTCCTCCACCTTGTCCTTTGCTGTGGTTCGGGTTGGTCACCCTGCTGCTCACCACCCTCATCATCTGATAGCAAAATACCCCAATGAGATCCAAAGTTCCCAACAACTCTCATCGTCTCTAAATACCCCATAGTAAACTCGTTCCCCTCCATGCAAGTCAAAGAACGAGTGATGCTGGGAATGAGAAGACCATAAGACCAGGCCAGACATGTAATAAAATTCCCTCCACAAATAGGGATATCGGGACGACAACTATCAGCAGAGTCAGCCAAGAAGCATGCTAAAAAGTAAGGAACGTTGCAACACACTCCTGGCTGCAAAATGCACCATAAAAAGAAGAGATTATGCTTTGTCACTTTGTCCCCATGTCGTCTGTGATTGATGGAGAAAGTGATTAGTCGGTGAAGTAAACGGTGGATAGGAGAGCGAATGCTGCTCTCGGGGGACACTTCGGAATTGAATATCCCGGATGCAATAGAATGCCATAAATCAAATCCTGTGACACCACCCGCACAAGATCTAGCCGCCTCCCTCAAGAATATTCCAAATTCAGGAGTCATCACCTCTTCGTGATCATATATACCAACCCTCCAAGAAAATTCCATTAGGCTACATTCCCGATACTCACCCGCGAGATGAAAGACCAATGCTTGCTGATAATGTGGATCTTGGATATTCTCATGGAATGTCACTGTGGCAAAAAACTCTACACACAACTCCTTATAGACCCGCTCTTGAACCCGGAAAAGATTGAGCCATCCCGAGCAAGTGAATGAAAAACAATTCCTAATAAAAATTTTAGTAAGGAACGGGGACAGCCTATCCATAAGCCCGATTTCCCTCAAACGTGCCCACTGAATAGTGGGCGCAATAGCAAACTCCCGGTTGTAAAGCCATCCCAACCAATTGTTCCATCGTTTCAACACTTCTCGGGGTGTAGTTGTTGGAAAGTTGTAAAATAGGTGTAAACCCACTAATCCAGTTGGAACCTCTCTTCTGGAAGCCATTTCTGCATAAGTAAACACACAACACAGCCACCAAACACAACCCAACATATTAGCAATAAAAGAAACAAGAAACTGTCTTGTCTAGGATTCAAGTCATGAATCTTGAAGGATTCACGTCATGAGTTCGTCATCGCCAACAGAAAATGTCCACTTTCTGTAAAAATCAGGCGAACACAAGGTTTGGGGTTTACTCCTACACTAACTCCAACCACAAATAATCAACATTCTACGGCTATTACGGGATTTTTAAGGAATAATTTCGACATTCAACTAATTACAAACCCTAACCCTAAGTTCCAAGTATTTAAGAAGAATTAGAAACAAGAATAAAGAAATATTACCTTAGATCGGAAGATTACGTAAGCAAAAACGAAAATAGAGTGTATGTCGGCCTAAATCGAAGCAATGGGGACTAGTTTTTCGCCTTCACTTCGTGGGAATAAAGAATGAGTTGGTCAAAGAGGAATCTATGTTCTTTAATCTGTGTTCCCAAGTTTGTCCTTGTTAACGTCGTGAATATTTAAGGATTCAGGTCGTGAGTCCAATATGGGCTTAATTTTGGGCCTTTCATTCTGTATCAAAAATGGATTAGTCGTGGGCCTTTTAATTTAATAGAAAATGGGCTAGTATGTATGAATGCTATATCGTTCGGTTGTTTCCAGACTCACGTCGTGAATCCTACTGATTCACATCGTGAACACTGTGTGATAATAAATTTTTTATTAAACCGAAATATTTTATTATATCCCATAAATTTTTACCACTTCATCTTTAGGACCCCACACTTAGTGTTTACTTATAAATAAAGTGAGTTGGATGATATGATAGATGTTTCTAGAACTAAAAATGCAAAAATGAAAAAGATAAATAAAGAAAATGTAAACCAAACTCGGGTTGCCTCCCGAGAAACTTTTCTTTTTTATGGAGTCATGAGCCGGACTCCGTGCATCCTACGTTGTATTTTCAGATGAGTCCACCACCAAGACCTTTTTCTCCTTGAAACGCCTCTTGTAAGTTTGCACTCGACGAATATAAGCTTTCTTAGAATTCTCCTTTTTAGCCTTGACTTTGTCTCCATCGAGCTTGCGTTTTACCCCTTTAGTCTTCAATTTTTCTTCATAATTAAGCTCCATAGTATCCTTCTCTTCTTTCACCACTGGACTTGTTACTTTTGAAGTGACCCCCTCTTCATCACTCGACATCTCATCTTCTTCCTTGCTTACCCAAGAAGTTGGATTCGTGTAGGCAATGAATTTAACTAAAAATGGAACAGATGCTCTCGGTTTTGTTCTTTTAACTTGTTGAATTGTTTTGATTTCTTCTTCCATGAGCTTCTCTAATTCTTTAAGTTCACTGTCTTCATCAATGTTGAAAACCTCTTCTTGAGCATCACTCCCTTGGAAACCATCTTCTATGCCAAAAATTTCCTTATCATCCCTAACTCTCAAGGTGAGCTTGGACTCGTGTATATCAACCAGAGCTTCAGCAGTGTTAAGTAACGGGCGACCAAGAATAATTGGAACATTGGGATTGTGGTATTCACGAGAATGCTTTGCAAATTCTTCAACTAATTCCTTGACCTCACCCAGATTTTTCTTTGTAAGCGGTCCTTGAGAATCAAGGAGTTGTCTTGTCATTACATTGACCTCGTCATAGAATATGGACACTTCTTGTTGAATTTTAAGGTCATGTTGAGGACAATTCCTTAACAACCCTTTATAACGTTCCCATGCTTCGTAAAGTGACTCCCCCGGGTTTTGCTCAAAATTAGCTATTGCCTTCTTGAGTTTAGCTATCTTGGATGGTGGACATAATTGGTTGAGAAACTGCTTATGCATTTGAGCCCAAGTAGTGATTGGACCAGGTGGAAGTTCTTTTAACCAATCCCTTGCAGCTCTTTTAAAGTTAACGGGAATCATCCTTAGCAAGACAGTATCTCTATTAACATTTGGTACATTGAAGTAATCAACAATGTCATTCACTTCATCTAAATGCTTGAACGCGTCCTCATGATCTTTTCCATACAATGGGATATACTTTAGTGTAGAAAGGATATGTCCTTTCAGCTCGAATGTGGCAGTGGTAGGAAAAGCGGGTTGTACTAAGCCTAGACCAACATCATGTCGAATTCTCTTTATGTAAGTTCCCATGGACATTTCTTCAATATTCACCATCTCGTTTCTTAGCTCGTTTTCGGGTTCACTTGTATGTTCTTCAAATTCAGGCTTGGTATCGTATTCGGACTCGGTTTGGACGGGGTACTTGATCTAAGTGTTCAAGCTTGCTATTGTTCTTTGAATATGAACTTGACTCCCCCGTTTTCTTCCCTAACTTCTTTGAGAACACTGACTTGAATTCTTGTAAAGGCGTTTTCTTTGGTGTTTTATCTTCTTTCACGCTCTTATCCTTCTTTTTGTGAATTCCAGACTCGGGATCTTCAAGTGGTGGCACCAAAGGTGTCTTAGAACCTCTGGTCATGAACTCCTGAAATAAAACAAAAATAAAAAACGTAAAACATAACTGAAATAGAAAAATAAACTAAAAATCAAAGAAAACTAAAATTCACAGTTTTCACATCGTGAACCTAAGGATTCACGTCCTGAATCCTGTGACTAAAAAAAATAAACTAAGCTTGATAAAATAAATTTTTGCTAGTTTTATCCCACAAAAGGATCGATTAATCAAAAGCAAATAAATAATTTATAACTAAGCCGATCCTCGGCAATGGCGCCAAAAACTTGATGTGCAAGGAAGTACCCACTAATTTTAATATTTATAACCTAACAAACTTAAACTAACTATGCACCTATAAGAAGTGTACCTAGTTAGATTACAGTGTAGTTTGGGTAAGTCGGATATCGATCATAGAGAACGGTGTTATTAATTAATCTAATTGCTATCAAATTAATCTAATTATTAACAAGTTTAAAAAGGGTTTTATCTGATTTTACAAGATCAAACGAACTTAACTCAAATTCAATCAATAAGTAAAAACACTCTTGTTTAGTCTGAATCTCTTTCGTTCTTATGGCCAACTAATAATTATGGATTATCAAGTTGGTTATTATTATATTAGTAATTTAAGTATAACTTTACCACTAATTAATTAATTCATGTAAAATATGTATGGTCACACACAATTAAACATCGAACCAATTATGATTATGAATGTGTTATGTAAGATTTATTATGTAAACACAATTATAGTTATAATCTACGTTCTCTAGCATAACTAAGTTTATTGACTTTAATTACTAACTAAGATCGGTCAATCCTAGCTCTAACAATTTAATGTTCACTATATCATTAGGTAAACAAGTTCATGCACTTAATGATCACTAATCTACACAGAACATGAAATTAAGAAACTAGAGAAACAAACATAAGCATGATAGGTAACTATAAATCAAACACAAGCAATTTACCAACTAAATAAATCCATAAAAATTAAGCTATTCAAAAGGTAGAAGCTTCATCTAGCAAAACAAGATTAGCTAGATTCAGCTGCTCATAATAGCAACTAACATACTATCACAAATCAAAGTATAAGGAAACATGTTCATAAGTACAATTAAGTAAACTAAATTATGAAACTTCACTCTTTCGGTGTTGAAACCCTTTTTCCAGGACATTTTTTCTGCTAGGAATCGCCTTCTGGAACCTCTTTCTTCAGCCAAAAGTCCTCAAGTCGTAATGATCAAGGATATATATAGTTTTTTGGATTTCCCGAGTTCACATTGTGAATATGAGATAACCGTGTTCGGCAAGGACTCTTCCACCCGCATACATATCTTCTAGTACTCTCTATTCATGCCGTGAACCATAACTTGTTCACGTCGTGAATACGTCTTTTGCGTGATTTTCCGTTCTTCTTTTCTTTAATCCTCCAAAGTTCCATATCTTGTCAACTTCTGTCCCTATCTTCGAAGATGCTTCTACTTGGCTGCAAAATAACAATTCAAACTCATAAGTACCATTATTCTATGCAAATAACCAAAATATCAATAGAAATGTAAATAAATATTGCCTAAAATATGTATAAATATGACAATATCACCCATCCCATTTGGGGGATTTTATTTTAAATCGGGGGCGAAGACAAGGGCGGGGGCAAGGTTAATCCCCGTTTTAATTAAGGGAGCGAG